TCACGGTATCGACACTGTTAACGACGACCATGGTGACGATGATGCCGATCGACAGATCAAATTTCCGGTTGAATTTCTCAACGGTCTCGATCCTCTGGGTCTCCCTCCGCACGCCCCCAAACTTTGAAATTACAGTAATCGTAAGAGTTCTGCGGGATCTCCCGATCGGGAACGGGTTTTGCGACTTCACGCGTACGACCGTGAGAGACACGAAACGTCCCTACAAGTTCAAACGATGAATGGTGTGCTTCGTGGTCACGTTCATTTGCTGCCGAGAGTTTCATTGGAGACGTCATCCGACGTTAGCAAGCGATTCGTACCCAAGTTTTTCGCGGTTTCTCGATCTTCCATGGTTCCTGCCGTAATCGTTTACTTTGCACGTGTCGAATCGTTTATGATAACTGTTTTTAGTATACTGGCAGCCGTAGTACGCTGTGCCTCAGCATCTCTTTAATTTACATATGTTCCTTCAAAACTGAAGATCAAACGATGACAACAGGGATCCGGCTAAGACTGCTACTAGTTGGTGAGACGTGACAAATACGTATAGTTTCTTGGGTAGAGGGCCAAAAATGCTGCCACTGGCCACTAATCTACAAGTAATATCCTAAGTGAATTTTACGTGTAAGTGCAATTCTTCTCGTTGAACTCAGTCATTTGCCTTGTTGCCTGATGCACATCGGTGTGTTAATTATGCCCTGATTATCAGACTACAGTCATTTTCTTTCCGATTCATTCGGTGGAGGTGTCAACATTTGGCTCGTTCACGTTGCTGAGTATATATAGCGCCGTAAAAGTGCCGAGATCCTTATGCATAGAGGGAGATGTGACACATGGGGCGAGCGCCATAAACGGAAGTACCAGCAAGCCAAACGTTACAAGAAATTTCCAATGACATCGCTTTTCAAGTAACTATGCATGGTGTACTTCTAAACTCCACCAAATTTATTTTCCATGTTTCTCCAATGTATTTTTGAGTGCACCGTTAGTTGCGATTAGGTGAATCTGCTCGAACCAGTCGTAGACAACGTATCAATTCTGAAGAGGTATGACGTTATTCAGATTTTTCGAGACAAAATTACCCTTAGGAAAGAAAGTGGAAAGTCAGGGGACTAAAAGAGGACCCTTTAAGGCATTAGTAGGTCAGCACACCGGAATGTCTCAGCTTGTCTATCTCGGTACACTAACACGAACGGACGAACGGATTCTCTGCTTTTCATTCATTCATGGTTTCCAACTTTTGGAGAAGAACCTGCTATATTATGAAACTCATTTAGCTTTCCTGATTTTAATTATCGAAAAGTTCCACTTCATATTCAACGGCGACTGGATGTGAATGTTTTAGATGATATATTTAAATATCAACCTGCCCTCACTTCATGCTTTCCTTTCGCCTCAACTCCCTTCGTCTCCCGTACATTCCAGGGAACCCCATCCTGTGCGGGTGTGGTATTGCGTGGATTGTGCACAATTCAGAATTCCTGGGGAAGGTGATGGGTCGGTGCGCCGATGGAAGCGTCTTCGGTGACCTGCCTCAGGATTCTTTTCGTGACTGTCTCTTCCCCAGAATGACTCAAGCCAACTTTAAATGAAGAGGAATGACGATCGGAGTCCTATTCAATTTCTGGCCCAACTGGATTTGTTTCAGAAAATTTGAGGAGAAACAAGACGACGAGAAAAAAAGAAAAGGCAATGAAGGCCAAACAGTAGGCCTCTTAGGGCCGTTACTCAAGGTTCGAGACACCCACGACCGACGTCCTTGGGATCATCGCGCGCGTGCGGGGGTCAGGCAGGTCTGCGCTCGGTGGGGTCAGCGCAGTTGCATGCGTGACGGAGATGTCGCAACGCGATGTCCTTTGGGGCCATTCCAACACGGGACTGTGTTACACTGGCTGCAATTAGACTAACATTAGGAAGAATGGTCTCCAGAGGTGAGGTTCACATTGTGATTATTAGCGAACGAGAAACGGATTTATTTGCAAGATTTTGATTGCAGAAAAAAAAGAATAATTTAGTGATCACTTAAGCTGCATTCAGTAACTACCTTATAATTGGTCCAAAAATCAGTGCTTGCTTCCCGTTGAGTTTCAGCTCCCCAAAAAGTTAATTTTATGCCGCCTAGCAAGCGACCCAGAGCATGGAGTGCTGAATCGGAAGCCGGCATCGCAAATGGAAAAGGATTGTGGAATCTGCTTGAAAGCATGAACGCCGTGTATGCGTGAAGCCTTTACAGTACATGCCTGATCTACAGCAGATATATCGCCGTGATCACCAGACTGCGAGCCTCGATCTTTTAAGCCGTCTTTCCACAACTTATTCAGAGGACAAGTTACAACTTTCAGTGCTGTAGAACTAAAAGACACCCTGGAGATGGTGATGAATTTGACGGGGTAGTTCTCTCGACGGAGAGGAGAAGTTTATGTTTTTGCTCTCTCAACGTCCGACAAGGAAGTTCACAAAAGAAAGTCTATCTCTGAAAAGCCTAGCGACTCTTAGTTATATCATTATGCCATACTAGTGGGATCTAGGAGAAAGTCAAAGTCTTCTCTGGTTGCTTCCCTTTCTCGATGAATTGAGACGTGTCATGTGAAACTTCTGCTTGTAAAGCAGTCGTTCAATCCTTGTACGCGCGAGATTTTTGCAAGAAAGAGGCTTTTCCGGTGCGGAGGGAGAGAGCATTATCCTCTGGGAGAACATTCTCCGATGAGAGGCTGGGAATGTACGACCTCACACGTGTTTGTGTGCAAAGTGGCACGCCTTCCCACTTTGCATGGACCAGGCTTCCTTGAAAAGACATGCCATTTTTTTTTTAAACATTGGAAACAAGGATGACCCCTTCTCCAAAGTTCAAGTTGGGTTTCGCCTATGCTACGAGGTCCAGAGATCGCTTGGGATGCTGTCCCCTCCCGTGGGTTGGTGGGGAGAACCGTCAGAGGGGAAAGGGCCAGGAAGGTCGCGATGGCGACGCACGCGTCTTCCAGATCGCGGATGGCGTCCGGTTGGAGGACTCACGAATCCGCCCCGGATTCCGTCCATAGGACGGGGATCCGTTTTCGGGGACTTTTTTTTTCTCAGATTTCGTTTTGAAATCATTATTATTTCTCAATGCTAAAGTATCATGAACCTAATGACGCAATCGAGGCATCCTCCGCTCAGCAAGGTCACACAACTTTTTCTTCCAATGCATTTAGAATGTATTTCTAATTTAATTCCAATGTACGATGGGGAGTTCAAGGGCCAATGGCACTTTATTTTCCACACAAGCAACACGTAAGGTGCAAGAGCAGTGATAATTCACATAAATATTGCTATAACACTGGGTGACATACAGCCTGAAGATGAAGGGTGGATGAGAGTTCCTCGTAGAAGAAAACAGGATGTCGTCAGGCGCTATTACTTCAGCATTGGAACAGCGACGTGTAATCAAATTTCCGGTGAGGGAAGGTGTCAAGGTGGTGGAAATCCATTGAAGACTGACATAACAGATTGGTAATACTGGTCTTCCAAGGCAAACGGTGTACCGTCGGTGTGACATGTTTAAAAATGGACGTAAATCAGTTACTGATGCGGATTGTGGGCATCCCTCAGGCACAGCTGTGACACCGGTATTGTGTTCTGGGAAATCTTGTGTGATTCATGTGGAATTCCAGGAACGCAGTAAAACAGTTGATGCAGAGTACTACGGTGATATTATGAAAGGCAAAGTGCAGCAGGCGATACGCAAAAAATGCCCAGGGCAACTGATAAAAGCGTGCTAATGTTCCATGACAATGCTCCCCTCATTCGGCGAACATGACAGTCGCAACCATAAATCGACAGGGCTGGGAGATATTGGAACACCCCCTTACAGTCCAGATCTCTCTCCAGGTGACTTCCACGTTTTAGGACCTTAGGATTCCGCCATTCCTTCGCGTTAGTAGCTAGTGATTCTTGACGATCCTTGCGGCTATACCAAATTTCACCTGTTACATGCATAAACGTGGCGATGAGCAATTACTTTAAGACCCTTCAACTTAGCAATGGGAAGCTCTTCCCCTAGAGGCAATTATTATAAGCGAAAAAGGGGATTCGAGTGAATTTCATTCAGAATTTCAGGTTCTCAGGAAAAATAAGTGCTGAAGATGGCAATATCATCCATGTTAAAGAGAAAGTCTCAATTTCAAGGAGTAATAATTTCTAGTGTCCTTGACGATCAATCAACACAGGCAAAAATTACGGAATATGCTGTATATGCAGTGTTTACTATCATCCTTTGAGCTGCTGTCTATCAGCGTCTGGACGTCTGTCAATTGGTATTTTGCTACCTTGAAAAAATATCGGACTCTCTCATTTTGTATCCGTTACCTAATTGTTAACGACGTAATTTATGATCTCCCTCGATTCAGATTGTTATCTCGTGATTGTCAACTCATGTATCTACTGAGCGATTGTTTTTGAAATTAATGGAATTATATTCATAATTTTTTGAGCAAATGATACTAGAATTATGCATCGAGAACCAATAAACACAGGAAAATGGAACCCTATGAAAAACAAATATGTTGAATGTGCCATCCTTTGTTTGCACTGTGGCCTGCATATTATCCCGGGAAATAGAGCTGATCACGTTCTGTGGCGGACTTCAGGTCCCTGAACGTGCATTGATTTGGCTCGAAGACTTTGTCTTTTAGGTATCCCTAGAGGAAAGGGGAATAAGACGGTGGGCTCAATGTCGTCCTCTATTTTAAACACCTTCGATGAAATAGGGACCTTTAACGGGATTATGGAAGAATGACTTTGTCATGGCCGTAAAAGAAATGAATCGTATTTGTTTGACCACATCTTGGAACATCTTGGAATTGGAGGAAACGTTCCTTGAAAGAAGTTCTTAATAACCATAGAAATGTGAATTATATCCATGGGAATATATGAATTTGGGTGTAGTGCGCTGCAGAGGTGATCCCCCATTGCACTTATCTGTGGGGTAAATCCGGAGCGAAAAGGCCTTGCGCTGACTAGGACGAGAACTTGGAGTGCTATCAAGGGCTAAAACACTTGAAGTATCATCAACATTTGGATGGTAAGATGAACATCATTAAAACGGTCGTCATACTTGTCTCTTCGAGGACGGGTCAACATTGGGGAATGTCACAGAAATCCCGTCCCCTCCCTGCAGCATTCAAACACCAAGGACCTTCTTCGTCTTCATTTGGGTTCCGACAGAAGTTGTGCTGTGGGTGCAAGTCGTCGGGAAAGTAGCTCGCATACTTGTACGTCAGACTGGAACCTGTCCATAAAAACATCCATGAAACTGTGTACGATGCATTCTAAGAATTAGACGGATCTAAAATAGGAGGTAACGATGGTAGAACGTAGATGGTAGAACGATATTGATGGTATACGATGCTTCAACTGATATCGAAGACATAACAGGGACGTCATTTGGTAAATTTGCAAGTGGGGGCAAAGAAGCTATGCAACTTGAAAAAAAAAAACACAGTTCAGCCAGAAATGCTATCGCCAGTTTCAATTTCGCAAATTTTACGTGACAAAGTCAATTGCGAAAATGTGAATTTTTATTATTTTTCGCCAAAGGAAAATGGATAGACATGACTACTAAATTTCAGAGTGCTCTTCAAGTGCTGGTTTAAGGAGAAAAAGCTACATATTGGACAAATTCGAGGGAGAACGGATTTCAACAGAAGGAGTATTTTCCATGAGTAATATATTGGAGGGGGAAGTAAGAATCTCACTACCAATCTTCCCCCTATCCAGCAGGAACAAGTTCTTATGGATTTGAATTTATTTGAAATTGTGTATTGCGCCATTTTCTCCTTTGAAGTACAGTCACTAGTGAGTTATTGTGTGTGTGTGTGTGTGTGTGGGGGGGGGGTTGTGGAAGGGATGCATTAGGAGACTTTTATGGAATTGTCACCTGGTGCTCGTCATGCTGCAATCATGAATATCTCTAAGATTCTTTCTCTGGGAGTAAGGGCACCTTTCCCTTACCTGTCCACTCCATATTATACCACGGAAGTCGATTGTTCTCTTCGTAGTCCAGGACGGTGATGAGTTGGTCGTTCGGGTAATTGCTTAGCCACAGTTGGCACGGGAAACCCTTTTTGGTCACGTTCTTCGTCCCAATGTAATCCTTCCCTTTCTTGTCCTTTTTGCACTCTTGCGGCCCTGGAAAGCATTCGGTTTTGTGAAGCTTCATTCGTGAAAGGAGAGGAGAATTGCAAGGCAAACTCAAGCGAATCTTCTAAATCATAGGTTCAATGTTATTTACAGTTGTCAGAAAGCCCTGAAAGCCAACGTCACATTCCTAAGCTGAGGCATTAATAAAGTCTGAGATATGCCTACCTCTCTTAAGTATGTCACGTAGTGTTGCTATCGGCATACGAGTCTAAAAGATGGTAACCCTAAATATGCTAGGGTGCCTGGAAGTTCGCAATGGCGATAGCAATTGCAAACTTTTATAGGCTCATGTGACGTCATTACAAACAGTCTATTCCATTATAGTGCAACTTGAAAAGGCAAATCCTGGAGCACTTTAACCGCAACTTACTTTCCTTTGTAAATTGAAAGAGCGCTCCACCTCGACCAGGAGGAAGGAGTTACTTTTTTGGAACAGCCTTTACCTCTGCAAGGAGATTTTAACATTTCTTTTTCCTTTCAGAACACTAGGTTATGCGGAAAGGACTCGATTTGTTGAACAGATGGTGGAACTGGTTTTTAATAACAAAATCCAAACAAACCAAAATGATTGACCCGGTTCGTCACAGAGATAGTAAAATTGTGACGGCTCCTTTGTATTCGGCTCTCACAGGAAGCATCAGACAACGTGAAGTATGATTACGTAAGCAACTTCCTCATACTTCCGTGGCATGCCAAGGGTCCGATTTTCCGAATTTCTTATTTTATCGTCCGTAATAGCGCTTTTGTTGCAGTTCCTCAGAATTGTGGCAAAAACACACTTAAATTTCCATGTATTCGATACATTGGTGGAAGCAACTTAGTGCGGTTCTACAATGGATGATGTCGACCATAATTCGAAATAGCAACGGTTGCTTGGTTCTCAAGTTGAGTTGCTTGTCAATTCCACAATATCAATTTTTGCTACAAAGGAAGTTTTCGATTGAATGACATAAGCCATACTCTACTCATGCAGCTGCAACAGATGGCCATGAACGGGATTAACGAAGTCTTCTTCATGTATCGTAAGAAAAATGTCATGTAAGAGAAACTGATGATATGGAATTCAAAGGCCCAGCGTAGGGGAATTAGAATCTCTTCCTAAATCGTGGCATGCAGGAAAGTGATGAGGAAAAGAACAGGTAAGAGAAGAGACAATCCACTCAATGTCTGAATTAACCCATCCGCGCAACAAAATCGAGTCCTTAGGAAGTGTAAAATCAGGTGAACTTTTTACCGAGATCATTAGCCAGTGGACGCACTTTCTGCGCTCCCACCGTAAAAATAAAATGAATAAAATACTCACTGTGACGTCATATGACCTCCAACATAAGGATAAACAAATAAGAATTCAATGCGTAGTTAAGTGTTTCTAAAAAAAATATGAAAGCAATTCCTCCCTCTGGTCGTCACACTCTTCTTGACATGAATCTCCAAAAATATGTTGCAGGAAACACATAAGAGACAAATTACTTAAGCGTTTTCGAGCAATAATTCATTATAGACTGGAATCTCCCAAGAAAAACTATATAGAAGGTTTCAGGGATGCCTAATTTGAGCAGTTCGAAGAGACTTCACCAAAGACAAAAGTCGGACATTAAAAAGATACAACACCAAATAAATTGAAGAAAATAACTCACTGACGCAATCCCCATTCACTCGAATGTCGCATCGTTCCCCATCCATGGGAGAACGGAAGGGAACATCGCAATACTCCCAGTCGGGCGCTTCTTTTTCTTCAGAGTCAATAAAGCACCATGGGCCGTGGTATCCTGGCTTCAGATTACGACAAAACCGGTGATTTCCATCCACTTCGTCTGAAAGGCCCAGACTCAACCTTCCACATACGTCTTCCAGCCCACGTCTCGGACACGCCTTTAACCAAGGCTTGCAGGGATACCCCGATATCGTCACGTTCATTCTCCCCACATATTCCACTCCACGTGGACTCAGTTTGAATTCCGGAGGATCTGGAAGACAGAGAAACAAAAGAATCTGAGTAAAACATCTCATCTTTCAGTCAGGATGTTTAGGAACGCACTTGGGTCGTGGCAAAACGGGATGTCACAGTACTCCCATGAAGCGTTGGAGTCGGAGACGAAGCACCAAGGCCGGTCATAGTGCATTGAGTTGCGGCAATAACTATACATGGGAATCGAATAGTAGAAGGCATATTTTACAAAGAACTCATATGTGAAGTCCTCAGGCGAGAAGGTTTCCTCGTCCGATTGTGTGCAAGTCTTCCCAGTCTCGGTCACTTTCTGGCTTCCCACATATTCCGTCCCTTTCTCTGACAGTCGGCATTCAGGATACACGTGCCCCGCGGCTCCAACTTGAACTCGGCGCTCACAGAAGTTTACGTTGCAGTATTGCATGGGATGTTCTACCTGTTCTCTGTTCTCACCCTCAATATAACACCATGGAGCAACCAGTTTCGCATTGGGAGTCATCTGCGAAGATAAACTGTCTATGCTTAATTCTTTGGATGAATTTGCTTTAAAATAAATTTTCGCAACGTAAAACCTCGGATAAAAAAACCAGACGACGTAACCAGCAACATACAAAAAATGTTCCATGTATACGCAACCAATTGGTGTGTGAAACAAAGTGAATTTGAAATTAAATTGTTCAATGAACTCTTGAGGAGAGAAAGAAACGACATTATTTTAACTTTTGCAATGCAAAACTGCGAAAAATTCTATTTACCAGGATGATAATATGCAGCAATATATTTTTTCTGGAGATTCCATGTACGACATGTTGCATAATATGTCGACTACATGCGGTATTTACAGTAAATACGAGGTACTCCATCTCTTAGGTTGCTATGTCCTTCGAATTTGTACAATTACCATTTTAAAGAATATAGTTATTCGTGAAACCTACTCCAGGTGTCCATGTATCCGACGTCAGATTCATATTTGAGTCAAGCAATAATATTCGATTGAGTTGATCACAAACCATAGCGGGAACTCTCGCGTTGCGACAGAAGTTGTGCTGGGCGTCGACATCGTCAGAATCCGGGAATGAAGAAATAGTTACACTCGCTTCGAAGCCTCTCCACGGTAGACAAGGTTGGTCCGAGAAAGTCACGTTCCTCCTTCCGATGTACTCCTCGCCCTGTTCGGTCAACTTGCAGTCTGGGGGAACTAGCAGCAGCAAGGAGATTTCCGTTTTGTTTTCCAAATGAGCTCGCCCCCAAAACGAGAACACATGACCAACGTATCATATTTTATCTTTCTCATGTTAACACATTGCGTACTGGACATTTTACCCCGTCTATCCGCCGCTCTGGCCTAGGCCTCAGTTACCTTAGCCTAAAGATCGACGCCTACAAGGCTATGACTTTTTCGGTCACATGCTAAGCAAAATGACTCGCGAAAGGACTCAAAAACTCCGTGGGCGGTACGCAAAGTGTTCAGGTGGCTTCCTAATCGCAATGGCTACGTTTCGACTCCGGCGAAAGTCCCTTTAGAACATCCGTCTAGAATTCATTTCATTTTGTAACACCTCAATTTAGCTGCGATTTGGTTCACAAATCATTCTCGTTGGGTAACGAGCTCAATCGGTATGGCAACTTGTTTTTCAAAATGCACTACGTTTTTTTCTGAAGTAAAATTCATTACCAGGGTCGGTGCACTTCGGAACGTTGCAGAATTCCCATTCCATAGTAGTAACAGAGACGAAGCACCAAGGTCTATCTCTCCTCAACGGATTCCGACAATAGTTGCGATGGATCGCGGGTTCCATATTGAGAAAGGACTTGTAGTTTAATTGACTGATTGGTTTCTCTCTGTCCGGCATGGTAGGCCCGGAGTTGCTCCTAGTGACGTCGTCGAAATAGGCCCTCCATGATAGGCACGCCCGTCCTGTTTCCGTCACGTCCAGGCTTCCCATGTATTCCTTTCCCTTTTTCGTCAACAGACATTCCGGATATACGTGGTACTCACCTGTGGTGAACATGGTAGAACTCACCTATACACCTATATATAACTGCACCTTCTTCCGACCGCATTTTAGGTCAATATTTACGTTAATGCAATCTATTGAGCTTATTCCTTCGATGCCCTCGTCTCGTTTTTCATTGTTCCTTGAAGCAACCTGCTAAGCGGCATTTTCTGGAAGCAGCTATGGACTTATATCTACTGACAGTGACTCACGAAAATCGCCCTTTTTCTTGCGTTCTACTAGTATATCCCGCGGCAGCAAATTAAGAAAATTTTGCAAACGTGGCATCGTGAGAGCAATAACAGAACTGAAAATAATTTGAAGCACTAACTGAATCCTGTAGGTTCACCTGAAGCATTGTTGTCAACCGGCGACGGGATTGGTAATACGAAAAAACTGAAAAGTGACCATTGTCAATAGTTACCGCAGTTACCGTCAATAGTTACCGTAGCAGCAACGTCAGCAGCCGACAACTCCTCCTACTCTGTCGGTTATGAACAATTCACCTTAAAAGGCGTACAGTACAATGCCGTTGTTAACACCTAAATGAAGCTCTTTAACGTTAGAATGGTTGAGTGCTTCGACTTTTAGACCCTATAAGTATCGCCTTTAGGGGAGAAACTGGATCAAGATCTATAGTATTCAAATGAGACCTGACCCCCTCTGATTTCCCTGAAATTTGGTGAACTCGTAGGAGCTATTGATAAATTATTCCATGCAAAATTGCGTCTCAGTAGATGAAGGATATTCTGAGGTGCAATGACATGACTGCTCCCAAAATGGACCGATTTTGTGGCATTTTATCATAACTCAAGTGCCCATAAGCTTTGTTTAAAATGACAGAAAGCTAGACCGGCCCTTGTAGCTGACTTTTTCCCTCACCCTTTAACCTCGTCATGCACTCCTTTTCCGTCGCAGGAGGCTGAGAAGTTCTATTTAGGCGGAAAGCCAGTCAGTCTCGTGATGGCACTAGTTCAGGAAACCTTTCCGATTTTTGAAGCGCGAAGCACATTCATCAGAGATGAGATTTTTGGTGGGAAAAAATGGACAAAATTCATCCTTCAAGACGTTGATAAGGTTCCTCTGGAAAATATGGACCACCAAATCATGCTTAAGATTATCTGATCATATGACAGCTGACATGCTGTGCTTTCCCGAGTCATTATTAGGCGCCTCAAATGAATTAATGGTTACCTATAAGTTGTTCCAATAAAGACTTTTTAGAATGGAAGAAAATTTCGCATATCACCGAAAATTTCCCAGCTGGCAAGCTTGATTTCGTTTTTGTTTGAAAAGAAGCTTGTTGTCTTGCAATGAATGAATGAAAGGGAACTTCCAGCTTCTCACTGAAAGTACCATCATAGGAGCTGCTGAGAGTCTCGATCTGTCAAAAGAGATCCAATGTCAGTAGATGACGTCGTATATCATATTGTGATCCATTAACGGTCTCAGGCGTTCCTTCAGACCTAAGATGCCTAGGCATGGCTAGGCATGCACGTCCTTCTCGGAAGGAGCACGCTGGTTCAGCAGGATTTCAGATGATTCTTCCCAGATAGTGTATGTTTTCAGTGGGATATATTCATCAGCACACAGAACAGGAATCTTTCCGCTCGACATCACTAGCGTCACGTTTTGACGGATTACTCAGACGCACACTGCATCTGTACCACTCGCCCTAGCTAAGCCTCTTTGCTTTGGACGAAGTTCTGCGAATTTGGAGAAGCCAAATTCGCTTGAGTTGGGAACCTTTATCTGAACAATTGATACTCCTCCCTCAAATTGCTCAATACTAGACTTTTTGGGCATGAACCTCTTTTCAACCCTATTTCACAGAAACGAAACGCCTGGCAAGACGAACGAATGACACACTGGAATATTAGCTTCATATGTACGAGCATGGACGTGTGCACGGCGCGAGCCATCTAGGAATCCCAACGAAAGCGAGGCCGAAAAAAGGACCATTTTCGCATTAAAATTTGAGCAATCATCGTCAAACTTTCATTGAATATTATATATGCTAATATATAATATGCAATATAATTCAATATAATCTTCGCAGTTAAATACTTAAAAATTATATTCTGTACTAACGTCTACATCCCTGTCGTCGTACATCATCTGGAGGTTTAAATTCTATGCAATTTTCATGATTCATTCATATTTTCGATCCCGCATAATAACGAACCCTGAATCCTACCACCAGAATGCCGCATCGATGTATCAGAATAGCAAGAAGGTCATAGCCATTCAATAGTAAAGTCGTCGACATACCCGAAACGTTTTTTTTTATCTCCCTCTACTTCGACTATGACATTACTACTACAACTTTGTGTCCTTATACCGTACTTGAAGTATGAGGAAAACGTAGGAATTTTTTGCTCTTACAGCGGACTGCTCCCTCCTCGAAGGAAATACACCAAGAGTCCGGCTTGAGGGGGGCGCATTCCGCCACGTGGAGAAAAGCTCCATCAGTGAATCCTTTTGGATTCCCGCAGTGGAACGTTACCTTCCCTCCCTTCGGTGCTGGGGAACTTCCATTCCATCCCTCAAAGGAAGTAATGGCATTCGGGATCATTGGGGGCTCTCTCAGGCACACCACTGTTTTTGGAAAGAAGGCGATTATACGAGTAATCACTTAAACCCTCGAGGGGAAACTGCAAAGCTTTCAACTCACTCTGAGCGAAGGATTGGTACCCTTCACCTTCCACGAGGGAGCCGTTCACGTGTAGAACCAGCTGGCACGAACCGTCGATCGTTCGGTAGTTGAAGGCGTAGCAAAGACTTCGTTTCTGCATCAGGCAATATATGGAACAAAGTCCGACATTCGGTTCCTTGGATTCCAACGTCACCTTCTCGTATCGCCGCCCATTATGAACGGAAAAATACGGGATAAAATCCACAGAGCCAACATCGCGTAAAAGGTGAAGCAATGCCATGATGACCCTGAGCGTGTTTTCTCTCGAAATCCGAAGTTCCATATTTGTACCTCGGCCCTTGAGGAGGACAGTACGACTCTGGTTGAAGGTTTTGGGGGTATGTTGCTATGCCCTAAAAGATTGCGCTGACGCCCTTGACGACGATTGATTTTTCATTTTTTCTTCCCAAGAAGAAACTCATCGTCTGAGTTGATTTATGGTGTTCCCCTCTTCGTCTGTGACTGTTGGCGTAGGTTGACCTATGCTGTGCACACACGTGCCATATAGAACTCATTTATATTCAGTTCTCTTTACCTCTTCCTAGAGTTCTCAGCTGCACTGCATCGAAGTCAGCAATGACCTTTCGATTCCCCTAATATTATTTTAATTTTTCCTGGAGAATGTATACCGATTCTCAATAAAAGTTCTAATTACGCAATACCTTGTTTCCTTCACGTGGCCTACTACGTAATTTCCAGCAGGTGGTAGAGAAACAAAGCGAATGTGCAGTTTCCATGGGACTTGCGAGGTTCCATAAGTGTGACCCTCTGTTTGTGTGACCCATAAGTGTGACCCAATCCATAAGTGTGATTTCTCTGTTTGAGTGAACGGAAAGCGGGAGTCGGACCTCTGGAGGAATTGCGTCGATCTGGATGCAGGGGCTATTGCCAAGACGGCGTTCACTTATTCTTTTTCACGGCGAAGAAAACAATAAATTTTTCAATGCGAATTGATCGATGACCTTTCCTTCTTCTCGGTGTTGTCCTACTTGGGGGTGCGAGCAGTATCACGCTGTTTGCACGCGTGGAGGGTCGGTTTTCTTTATTTTCCCTTCTTCGTCTTTTATTTCCCTGGGACCGCTCGATATATTGCGTGGCCATACGCATCGACCTTCATGGTCATAGACATTCGGGTCTGACCATGATCTTGCTTTTTCCATGTTGGTGGGTTTCCAATGCTCCCATCGCTTTCGCCCTTCTGGGTGGCTGCTCTTTGCTTATTCCCTGCCTTGTCATGCTTGTACGACATAATCTTGTCTGTTTCGTTCATTTCCCTTTCGGTGTTTCAGTAATTGTCACAAGTACATAGGGTGGCCTTTGATTCCACCCTGCGACTTCCCATACGAAAATACTTTTTGAAATAATTTAAGGAACTACGAGGTTTGATCAAAAAGTTCTAAAACTCAATTTTTTATTTGCTGTGGTGACTTTTTCCGACTGCTGATGGTTTTTTCCTTTAAACTAGTCCTCTTCGGCATCTACACAAATTTTCCGACGTATCCTCAGGCCCTGGAAGCATTGCTGGCACTCATCTTTTGGAGTCACCAACAGCGTTCGCGGCGCATTCGTAAGGTTGTTTTAAATGT